TGGATCAATGTAAAACTCAGTGCTAAAGAGGCCAGTAGCAGTCTAGAAATACGTGCGAGTGTATATGAGTGTTTCATCTGTCAGTTTCTTCTGCTTTATGGCTTCCTACTAGCCATCCTTAACTAACGAATGGTTGGAAATTCACTCTCCGCCCCCCACAAAAATTGAACCTTCACAGTTTCTTAATTCTTGGTTTTAAAAAAGGAATGAAGAGGTATCAATAGATCAAGTACATCTTTGAGGAGGGAGTGGCTTGCGGCAATTGGAGAGAAGAAAACCTCGATCATCAATTTGTGGAGAGGTTTGAGCGTTCACTGAGCAGATGGGGGTTGTGGGGGCACCTAACTCATGCATGGCCAAATGCCCAAGCCTAACAGAAACTGAGAAAAGCCAAGAGTTGACGTATCACTTTTGAGCTAAGATATAAAACGGGTTACTGGCAAGCTTACCCAGAAGGCTCAGCAAGTGTCCAGCACAACCACAGCAGCTTGATCAAAAGCAGACCTCTGCCTTTGGATGGATAGCTTTTGCATTTAATATTTTATGTTCACCTCTTTGGCTCAAGATTTCCACTTCTGGCTTTTATCCTGGGGAACTGATAAGACACTTGCACAGTGTGTGCTTATAGATGCTCAGGGTAGTGTATTCATAACAGCGAAACACAAAATCACCTGAATGTTTAGGAATTGGGGATTGATTTAATCAATTGTAGTATGAGTGTGTGATGAAATACCATACAGTAAGATGTGACACTGCTTTATATTTAGTGACATGGAAAAATGTTTAACATAAACTGTTAAGATTTAAAAAAAAAAAAAGCTACAGACCAGCCCCTCTTTCTCTTCCTCTTTTATCTTTCTTGAATGAAATCTATAAATATGTTAATGTATGTATGCTTCTTTCTACTTAACTACCTTTTCTAATTTTGTTACAACGAGTATGATTTTACCTGCTTAAAAGAACCTGTGACCTAAACAATAGAAAATTATTAACACATTACTAGAGTAATATTTTACCGTAAACTGCACATTTTGTTTTTTAAAATGAGGTTATAACCAAAAAGATCATTGAACATCAAGAAATAAAATTTCTCTTCACATGGGTAGGATGGGGTTGCTGCTTGGGACCTGGCTATTGGGTGTAATGAATAGTCCGGATGAAGGTCAGAGGTACCTAAAGAGAGAGTCCTGCCTGTTTGGACTTTGCAATCAAGAAACAGACAGAGTTTCATCTCTGCCTCCTCTGTGTGTTTAATCAGCTGAACAAACAGCAGCTGCTAGAGAATCATACAGCGTTATAGTGAGGCATAAAAATTGGCCTTCTTGCAGGGCGCCGTGGCTCACGCCTGTAATCCCAGCACTTTGGGAGGCCAATACAGATGGATCACGAGGTCAGGAGGTCAAGACCAGCCTGGCCAACATGGTGAAACCCCATCTTTACTAAAAATACAAAAGTTAGCCAAGCATGGTCGTGGGCACCTATAATCCCAGCTACTCTGGACTGAGGCAGGAGATTTGCTTGAACCCGGGAGATGGAGGTGGCATGAGTCGAGATCGTGCCACTGCACTCCAGCCTGGGCGGACAGAGTGAGACTCTATCTCAAAAAAAAAAAAAATCGGACTTCTTGCAAATAATATTATACTTTTCCAAGTTCATGACAAAAATGAGTGCAGAATCCCAGGCATATAATCTCCTTACTACAAAGAGTAGGCTTCAAAATTTGACCCACGTCATCATAGAATAGCAGACAGGGTACCTCACGCAATGACCTGATCCCGTTTTTACTAAATTAAGTGAAAATGATGGGCTCTTGCAGACTCTTGAATAAGTATGTTTTTGTTTATCTCTGATTTGTTCTCAGATAGTCCTACATACTGGGCCCTGAATTCTTGTAGGAAATGTATAACTTTGCATAATCAAGATGCTTCTTGTATTCCTATTTGATGTTCCTTTCCAACTATAGTATTGGAGTTAACCAAGTGTGTAATTAGCATAAACATTATTTGGTGCTAAAAAATGGTATCAAACTTAAATAGAGCATAGATCAGTGGTCGTTGGGGGTTAGGGGTAGTGAGGGTATGACTATAAGGGGGTGGCACATGGGAGCTTCTTTGTGGAGATGGAGAAGTTCCGTATCATGAATATGAATGTGATAAAGTTTCACAGAACTACAAGCACATATCCTTCTCTACAATGAGCACATGTGAAATCCATAGAAAGTCTGTTAATTGCATCATGCCAGTGTCCACTTCTGGGTTTTGAACATGTGCTACGGTTATGCATAATGCTGTTGGCGTAAGCTACGTGAAGGGTCCATAGGAACTCTCCACACTGTTTTTACAACTTGTGAGTCTCAAACCATTTCAAAATAGAAAAAATTTTAGATAGCATTTTTAAAGCTGTAAGCTATTCCTGAAAAGATTATCATTCTTAGAGTTACCAAAGCTAGTTGAAGTGGTCAGTACCCCCAGTTGAATGGGCAAAGAAATATAATATTTGAATGACTTTTTCCTTAGAGGAATCAGTATGACAATAGGAGAAAGAAAAATAATGATTTATCCTTGAAACAAAAACTGGAATGAAAACATGACTTAAGTATATAGTGTAAATATGTACTTAAATACTAAGTAGATAGGGTAGAGAAAGACATGCAGGAATATCTGTGGAATATTGTGTTATTGTCCCCCCACTATTTGTTTCCTTACCTCTCTGATGACCATAGATCCTACCCAGTGCTATGTGGTTTGTAGTCCCTCCCTGGATGCAGAGCATCCCCTACCTGGGGTCAGTCAGGGGCTGAAGTATAGCTTCTTCCAAGAAGCACTAACAGACTGACGTTCAGTTTCACCTCTGCTTCTCCTTTCCTTTGCCATGAAAATGATGTGTCCCAAATAGCAGTTGTTCCTTCATCCTTTGGTCCTGGAATAAGTAGACAGGCGCGTGAGTGAGAAATAAACCTAGGCCAGTGAGATTTTTGAGGTTGTTTGGTACTCTGCTTTGTTGCTAAGCTAAAATTATGTCTACGAGGTGAATGGTTTCATTGGGTATTACCAACTTGAAACTATTTTCAGTTGAGTTCAAACCTACAAGCTTCCAAAGTTTGAAGTCCTAACCCAATAATATAAAATGGCAATAGATACTAGGCTTTCTGAAGGCCATTGTGATTGTATTACTTGAAATATTTGCTGTCCCTTTCTGGGGAGGATATTGCACGGTGCTCTGTAGACTTCCAGATTGGCCATGTGCCTTGCTTTGGCCAGTGACATGCAAATGGAAATAATGACACCATTTCCAAACAGGAGATCTATGAGCCATTGAGTACTCTGCCATTTCTCTTTTTCCTCTGCCATGAGACTGCATATATCCTAGATAGTGGCTGCTAGAGTCTCTAAGTGAAGAATGAGAGAGGAAATTCTGTTGTGGGAAGCCACTCAAAGTTAGAGAAGTGATTTGTTAACAGTATAACCTAGTTTCTTCCAAGTTAGATAGGACCTGAGTCACACCTGGAGTCTTCATCATGTTGGGCATACCACCTGGAACATAGTAGGTACACAATAAATAATTTTTGAGGCAAATGAAGAAACTGACAGGTACCTAGGAAATAACCTTGTTTTTAAATGAGTTATGTTTTAGGCTTTGTTATTTGAATACTTGTACATTTTAAACATCTTATTTGTATTACTGCTACTTTAGAGACAGGGTCTCACTATGTTGCCCAGGCTGAAGTGCAGTGGCTATTGCAGGCATGATTGTGGCACATTACAGCCTCAAACACCTGGGCTCAAGTAATCTTCCTGCCTCAGCCTCCCAAATAGCTGGGACTATCTTTTTTTAATATCAGAATTCCATATTAAACCATCAAAGGTTTTTGAAATTTAAAAGTTGTGCAGGGTGACTATAATCAGTAATAACTGTGCATTTTAAAGTAAGTTAAGGAGCACAATTGGATTGTAATCAACGGATAAATGCTTGAGGGGATGGATACCCCCCATTCTTCATGATATGCTTATTTCACATTGCATGCCTGTATCAAAACATGACATGTACCCCGTAAATATATATGCCTACTGTGTACCCCCAAAGTTAAAAATAAAAATCTGTTTCAAGTTGATTGAGGATGGAGCAAAAACTGGACATAAAACAATGTGTTGAGATGTTAACAACGTAACATCTTATGAAATAGGAAGATGGTCATAATAATAGCTGTTCATGAAGAGTGAAGTTGTACTGATGGCTTGTGGCGTTACATATCTTCATAGTGCCTTCACATAGACACTTTCTTCTGCAGACTGGTAGAGAAGCTGCAAACAAAGCCCCTTTGTAGTGAGATAAGGTGAATGCACCCCTGTTCTTCCAGCGTGCTGGGCTGTCTCTCCAGTGGCATCTCATGAAGCAGCCAGAATATAACCAGTGCATTCAGCTGGACTTCATATAATTTGGATTACATAGATAATGTATGGATGTATTTTTTAACTTGAGTCTTTTCGGATAAGGTTAAAAGTCTCCTTTTATTTTCATCTCTGAATCTAGTCTGTCCCCACATTCTTCCAGAGACATTTGCTTATTTATCAACTTAGAAAAAAGCCGTATTACTGTTTGGAGGAGGGGGGCGTTTTTTTTTGTTTTGTTTTTTTGAGACAGAATCTTGCTCTGTCGTGTAGGCTGAAGTGCAGTGGTGTGATCAGGGCTTACTGCAACCTTCACCTCCTTGGCTCAAGCAATTCTCCCACTTCAGCCTCCGGAGTAGCTGGGACTAAATGCATAGACCACCACTCCTGGCTGATTTTTTTTAAAGTAGAGATGAGGTCTCGCTATGTTGCCCCAGCTAGTCTTAAACTCCTGAGCTCAAACAATGCTCCCAAAGTGTTTGTTTCTGTTTTTTTTGTTTGTTATTTTTTTACAAAAAACCGTTATATTTTATGTCTTGTTTTATGGCTTGCTGTTTTCATTAGATAATATATCCTAGAGATTTGTCCATGATGTTAAAGAAAGATCTAGCTCATTTGATTAACTGTCATGGAGTATTCCATAGTATAAATATATTACAGTTTATTTAGCCATTGCCTTGCTGATAGAGCTGTATCTAGAATTTTTTAAAGAATTTATTGCTTCTCGTTGAATGATTACAGTGTCTTGCATAGCTGGGCAAAGGACTCATAAGAATCCTAGCAAAACCTTGTTTGACAAGTTCATCCGACTGTATAGATGAGTGTTGTTCATCAGAGTGAACTGAAGTGTTACACTGCAGATCAAAAATTAGCATCACCAAAAGTGGCATTTCTTTCACTCTTTCTTAGAAAAGGAAACATCCAGAAAGACCAGTATGGTCAGAGGCCAAGTGTGAACCTAAGTCGAATGGAGAGTGAGCCAGGCAGATCCAGCAGCCTTAGAGGGGCGTGGCAGCCTTGCTGAGTACATGATACACAACATAATAATTACGGTGGTCCCCAAGTTACATGCAATCAGCCTGATCATATGACCTGGTTTTGGTAATACTCTCATGTTAACCAAAAATTTTTTAAATAGGTTTTGTTATATCATAGAGTTAAAAAAAAAAAACTGCTTTCTAATTCCTTAAATTTCTTAAGAAATTTAAGATTGCAGTAACGATGCTAGATTTGCTTTTGGAGCAGTGTTTTGAGTGTTTCTCATATAGTCAGCATGTGGGTGACATTTAGACCTAAGCTTGGCTTATACAAGCATGATTCATAAGAACATATCAGATGGTGACAGCAGAGAATCTTCCTTGGTACTTAGAGGGGAGCAGCTTCACGGAGCCACACTGTTCCGGCTCCTGGAGGAAGTCATACTGCAGAACTTCTGTTGGTTAAAAACAGTTTTTTTAAGAAACCCTTAAAGCCTGAACCCCCAGCTCTCAATGACAGACAGTTTGGTCCTTCAAGAGAAACCTATGGGGCGTTTTGGAGGCATTCACATATGGTGGAAAATTCAAGCCAGGCTGACCTCTAGCCAAAACCCTGCCATTATTTTACTCATTGCTTTAAAAGCACATGTGCAGTGATATCAATTCAAATATGAACATCCTCATCAAAAAACATCTCTAGTTGCCTGCCTCTTGGTGTGAAGGGAGCATTAACTCCTCCAGGGATTTCACGCTGCACACAGCTAGATGAGTCTCCAGCCTCGACTACTGTGTTTGCAAACTTACCTAGAATATGCCTTTCAGATGGTTATAGACACAACAGGAATGCATCTAGGAAATGTGAAGCCACTTCAGCATCAAATTCTGCGCAGTGTAGATCCATGTGTTTATTTTAACAAATTGCAAATGATAGTGATAATGATGATGGTGATATAGAGAGATTTTGAAAAATCTTTGTAGAAATGTTGAGAAATGTTTCCAAGGAAGACTAATTAAGTCTCTATATTATAAAACAAAGAAATGAGAAACTGGCCAGTGGATGCTTTCAATAGAATTTGAATTTTTCACTTGTCTTTTTTTTCCCCCCTAAGTAGTCTAGATTTAGATTTGTGGGTTAGACTTTATTTGTGCCTATGAAAAGTGATTAGCTCAAAACGTTCATTTTTTTCTCCCAACCACATATATGACAAGTGTCTAAGCTGTATTTTTCCCTCTTTCATTATAATATAATGTCAGGCTTGTGACATATGACAGCAGGTTTCACACTCCACTTAATGAGAGGCTGTCAGTTCCTGGAGAAGGAAAAAGGAAGATTAACATATATTTCACTAAAAAGGAAAATGTTATTAAGCTGGTAATAGTGAAGACTTGGTGTGCACCAGACATTTCTTCGTTGCCCTAAGTGTAGCCACATTTGCTATGACTTATCTGCGGGATGACTCTATCTACAACCCTTTGGTGCACAGTGAGAAAATGTGCTTTGTAAAGGATTTAGTAGTTGCTTTTTGTAAAGGATTTAGTAGTTGCTTTCGTACATATTTACTAAAGGTCTACCATGTAGGAGATAAAATGATTTCAGAGGATACAAAGACAGACTTCTACATTCAGGTAGTTTTGTAGTTCGAGAGGAACCTATTAATGTCTCTTTCCCCTTTTTGCCTTGGATTCCAGGAAGCTCAGAGATAAAGCTAATACATAATGTTAATTCTCAGTTTGGTACCATGCTTTAGGACCTCTCTTTCCTCTCTGTTAGACTGTCATGTCAGTCCTCCATGCGTGGGAGGTGAGAGATAAATGATGAAAAATTAAAGGGGAGGTAGAAAGAATCATAATTATCCTAAGTGGCAGAATGTGTTAAGTGACATGCGAAAGACAGAAGCGAAATGTTCTGGAAGGTCAGACAGAGAGAAATTGTATCTGGTATTGGCATCTGGGGAGACTTCCTGGAGGAGGAAGGAGACTTTGATACTGACTTTTCAGGTGTTTCAGCAGGTGGAGGCCTGGCATGCTTAGGCAGCAGCTGAAATAAAAACACAGATGAGAGATGCCAGGGCGCCACCTGGGACTCTCCAGAGAGAGAGAAAGATCACATGTAGCTTTTTGGCTCTCTGAGCAGCACCATGGCGGTCGGCAAGAACAAGCACCTTATGAAAGGCGGCAAAAAGGGAGCCAAGAAGAAAGTGGTTGATCCATTTTCTAAGAAAGATTGGTATGATGTGAAAGCACCTGCTATGTTCAATATAAGAAATATTGGAAAGACATTAGTCACCAGGACCCAAGGAACCAAAATTGCATCTGATGGCCTCAAGGGTCGAGTGTTTGAAGTTAGTCTTGCTGATTTGCAGAATGATGAAGTTGCATTTAGGAAATTCAAGCTGATTACTGAAGATGTTCAGGGCAAAAACTGCCTGACTGACTTCCATGGCGTGGATCTTACCTGTGACAAAATGTGCTCCACGGTCAAAAAATGGCAGACAATGATTGAAGCTCATGTTGATGTCAAGACTACCGTTGGTTACTTGCTTCATCTGTTCTGTGTTGGTTTTACTAAAAAACGCAACAATCAGATACAGAAGACCTCTTATGCTCAGCACCAACAGGTCCGCCAAATCCGGAAGAAGATGATGGAAATCATGACCCGAGAGGTGCAGACAAATGACTTGAAAGAAGTGGTCAGTAAACTGCTCCCAGACAGCATTGGGAAAGACATAGAACAGGCTTGCCAGTCTGTTTATCCTCTCCATCATGTCTTCGTTAGAAAAGTAAAAATGCTGAAGAAGCCCAAGTTTGAATTGGGAAAACTCATGGAGCTTCATGGTGAAGGCAGTAGTTCCCGAAAAGCCACTGGGGATGAGACAGGTGCTAAAGTCGAACGAGCTGATGCATATGAACCACCAGTCCAAGAATCTGTTTAAAGTTCAGACTTATAATAGTGGCAAATAAAATGTCTTATTTGTGGCTGGGCGTGGTGGCTCACGCCTGTAATCCTAGCACTTTGGGAGGCCAAGGTAGGTGGATCACCTGAGGTCAGGAGTTCAGAACCAGCCTGGTTATCATGGTGAAAGCCCATCTTTATTTTTAAAAATAAAATAATAAAATAAAAAGTCTTATTTGAAAAAAAATAAAGATTGCATGTAGAGGTTTATAGATGTAGGAAAGGATCCTGAGGCTGCTCTGCTCATTTGCATGATGAATTCGATGAATTTGGCAGCTCTCGGTAGACCTACTCGTGGGCCAGTGGGGGCAGCTTGTGCCCTGGTGTTATGGTGTTCACCTTGTCCATCCAGGTCACAGGCATCACCTGGAAGCCCCAAGCCTTACCCACCTTTCAATCCCTCACAGCCCGAGCTGGCGCCACACTTTGCCTGAGCTCTCATTTAGCTTGTGCCTTGAAATGACTTTGTTTTGAAAACCAGGTCAGAACGGTTTGGAAACAGCGGTGTATTTCCTTTACTTAGAGAAAAGCATCCTAATTCTGCTTTTCAGATGAATCTTTAGACTCATCCTCCCACAACTCCTTAGGATGAGATCCAGTGGGTTATCTATTTAATGAAGAAGTAACAGATGTTCCTTTGATGCTGTTCTACTTGAGTTAGTGGTATTTCACCACCAATTACTGTATTCCACAGTCAGTGAACAGTATATTTAATGCATGTGTGGTACAGTAAATGCTCTTGCACTGGAATTATGCATATAAAATCTGATGAAACCCTGAAGTCGGTAGCTTAGTTAATGGTATTGTAACATTGTCCTGGTTCTGCAAATGTGCGGTGGTTGTGTAAGATGTTATCACTGGGGAAGCTGGATGAAGAGTATGCAGGAACAGCCTGTACTATTTTTTGCAAATTCTTGGGAGTCTTAAATCATTTCAAATTAAGTAGCTTTAAAAAAAAAAAGAATTAAAGAGATGATCTAGTCCAGTTGTTTTCATCTTTAATTTTAGTAGCGGTCTCCCCCTGCTGCCTTCTCCTGCCCCCATCCTCAGCAGCTTAGGCACCACCTGACATCTTAAAAATGCTGATCCCACCGAATACGTTTAGGTTCCAGAGGAGGAAATCGGGGCCCAAATAAGTAAAATGCATTACTATTTAGAGGCTTTTGATAGAAACACAGCAAGCCTGGGGAGTTTTTAGGTCGAGTTGCTCTCTGCAGACCTTCATGACTCACAGCTCGGTCGCTAAGACTGTGGTTTCTTTTGTCAGACTAGGTGAGATTAATTAGACTGTAAAAGAGTTTCCATGCTCCTGCATCCCATTGCTGCAGTGCAAGAAATGGCATCATCCACATGGTTGAGGCAGTGCAAGAGGTGGTTTGGGTTAACAGATGGTTTCACGACACACCACTCAGGGCGTTTGCCAAGAGGACTGGTTTGAAAGTCCAGGCATGGGGTGCAGAAGACGGGAAGGCCGGGCCCAGGAGGAAGTCCCTTGCCTTCTGCCAGCTTGGACTTCACTCTGACCACCTATGAAGCCTGAGGGTGATCAGGTGTCCTGTTCCTCCCCATCCAGGGCAAAGTCACTAACATATTTTGGGGAAATCCTGGGCACCCTGAAGTTTGTTCCTAAGGATAATGTAATAATAATGATAATTATAATAATAATTGCTTGTATTTGTCTAGGGATTTTCGGGTTGCAAAGCCTTTCTCTTATATTCCCTAAGTTGGGTGTCACCCCTTGCCCATGACACAGGCATATTGATTTTATTTCTGCTTTATAAATAAATGATGTGACTTTTCCAAGGTAAGAGTTTGTGCCGGGACTGGGGTCAGAACACAGGTCTCCACAATCCTGCTAAGTGCTCTTCTCATAAGAGACTCTTTCTAAACAAAGATCTCAGTTATGGTAAAGCGCCCGTGCACACTTGCTCATCAACAAACAGCTGCTGATATTATTACTACTGTTACTGTTGTAATTCATAGGCAGGATCTTTGGCCCCTCGTAATTTTGGGGTGTGACAACTCCAAGACTTGCTGGTTCTCCAGAGTTAGGCAGGAGGTGGAAGCAATGGTTTCCTCTTTTCCTACACCTCCAAAGGGTGAGAGCCGGAAGGCGCCATACGGCTGTTGCATGAGTAAGCCTTAAGTTTTCCTGAAAAGTGAGTTCCCTGTGTGCCACATCAGTGGAGATCTATGTGACAACCAACTGGTACGACATGCACCCTGGGGCCGCCTGGCTCCAGAGGGCTGTGTGTGATCTGCCATTTTTTATTTATTTAGTGCCATTTGTTAATGCCTCATTTCTGCAGGGAAAACAGGTTGTTTCATTTTCCCCTGGCATCTTCTGTGCCCTCCACAATGTAGGACACAACCTTTCTTGTCAACACAGGTACTTTTAATTGGAGCTGGCACGAGCCTGCTCCCTAAATGTTCTGCCTGATGTCCTGGGATCCTGGGAAAGTTGGTGGGCTTTCCCTAAAGGTGGAAGTCTAAGGGCATACATTCTTCAGACCATAAACACAACTACTGCTTTCTAGAAGAAATAAGCTGTCAAGGAAGATGGTGATTGTTCACACCCTGAGAGAGACATTTGGGAGGCAAACTACTGAACTGCCTCAATAATATCATTAATCATCCTCACACAGAGGTGCTAGGTACTGACCTAGCACCTGTGACACATTTCCTAAATATTTGTTGAACGACCTTGTGAAGTAGTAGTTTCCCAGCCTTTAGTGTGTCCTCCAACAGGAGGATCGAGGATCGCTGGCAGGATCTGCTCCAGTGCAGGCTGTGAGGCCCCACCCCTGGAGTTTCTGATTCGGTTGGTCTGGGAAAGGACTAAATACTATGCCTTGTTTTTGCGGGGTGGGTGGGGGAACAGAGACTCACTCTGTTGCCTAGGCTGGATTTTTTGTCGTTGTTGGCAGGGGACAGAGTCTCTGTTGCCTAGGCTGGATTTTGTTTTGGTGGGAGGGGGACAGAGTCTCACTCTGTTGCCTAGGCTGGAGTACATGGCACGACCTTGGCTCACTGTAACCTCCACTTCCCAGGTTCAAGTGATTCTTCTTCCTCAGCCTCCCGAGTAGCTGGGATTACAGGTGCCTGCCACCATGCAGGGGTTTCATTGTGTTGGCCAGGATGGTCTCAATCTCCTGATCTTGTGGTCTGCCCACCTTGGCCTCCCAAAGTGCTGGGATTACAGGCATGAGCCCTTGCCAAGGCCAATACTGTGCCTTTCTAACAAGTTCCTGGTGATGTGATGCTGTGCAGAGGAACCACACTTTGAAAACTTCTGTCCTAAAGCAGGGCTTGGCAAACTTTTCCTAAAAGGGCCAGATAGTAAATATTTTAGATTTTGTAGCCCACACAGTCTCTGTCACAATTACTCAACTCTGCCATTGTAGCCAAAGAAAATATGTAAAGAAAGGAACATGCCTGTGTTTCAATAAAATTTTATTTACAAAAACAGGTGGTGGGCTTGTTTTCAAAAAAAGAAATTGTGTTGCAAATGTAAATATTTGTTGTAAAGATGTTAAGAGCCAGATCCTTATTCTGGGTAGATTTCCAAAAGCTCTTGGGATGGGAATCCAGTGTTGGTCACATTGTAGGTCTGTGCTCTCTTAAGCAGCACAAACAAACATAAAGCTTGGAGAGATACAGAGATTTGCGTTGTTCCCGTGCAAGGGTGGTGTGCAAATGGGTGAAGCGTTTCATATAAAAAAATCTGACATCTGATGTCCATTAGTCATATGATTTGGGGAAGGTCATTAACATCTTTTAAAACAAGGATAATTACGCAGTGAAAAGTAGGGGGAATCCTCACTTGTATAAACACTGGGTGCTGCATACACGAGTGGTTTACTATTCTTTATACTTCTATGATTGAAATATTTCAGATTCTCAAATCTATGTCTTTAAAGAGTAGTTATAACAAGTCTTTGACATATATGTGGCGTAGGCTTTAGGTTCCATAGTCAACCAACATGTGAATTATCTTATAGTTAGAATGACCTTTGGAATTCCCCTAAATCACCACCACGGAGGCCCTCAGAAAGTCAGCAGCCAAGAATATTGTACTTCGTGCCGCTTTGCATTTGAAAAGCCTGGGTGAAAGGATAGTTCAAGTGTAGCGTGTCTGCAGTAGACCTCCAGATCTCCTGCCCTTCCCTAGACCCCTTCTAAGGTCTTGCTTCAATCAGTGGATGGATACCCTGCCTTTATAGCTGCTCAGGCCACAAAGAGTAATTCAAGAGGAAAAACTTGTAAAGTGCTTAGAAGAGTGCCGTATCACAGGGTAGGCAGGCACCATTCAGACAGTGCAGACAAGCGCCTCTGCTTCTGGGGCCTTTGTTTATTTATTTTGAGATAGCATCTCACTCTCTCGGCCTGCCAAAGTGCGGAGATTACAGGCATGAGCCACCGAACCTGGCCTACTTTTATCAATTAATAAACAGAGGAGGGCAGGTGTGGTGGCTCACGCCTGTAATCTCAGCACTTTGGGAGGCCAAGGCAGGCAAATGACCTGAGGTCAGGAGTTCAAGACCAGCCTAAGTAACATGGTGAAACCTCGTCTCTACTAAAAATACAAAAAAAAATTAGCCAGGAATGGTAGCAGGCGCCTATAATCCCAGCTACTCGGGAGATTGAGGCAGGAGAACGGCTTGAATCCGGGAGGTGGGAGTTACAGTGAGCCGAGATCACGCCATTACACTCCAGCTTGGGTGACAGAGCAAGACTCCATCTCAAATAATAAACAAACAGAAGCCCCAGAAGCAGAGGCACTTTTCTGCACTACCTGCGTACCTACCTACCCTGTGATAGGCACTCCTCTAAGCATTTTACAGAGACCGATTCATTTTGTCCTTATTTATAATAACCACACAAGACAGATGCTGTCAATGTCTCAGCTTACAGATGAGGCGGAAAAGATAAATCATTCGTCCAAGGCCATGCCTCTGGGAAGTAGCAGAGCTGGAACCTGAACTCTGGCTGTGACTCCAGAGTCTACGCTCTTTAACCACAATGGTCTTCTGTATATGATTTTGCTTCCCTATCCATAATCTGTCTGTGAATTAAGGAACAAAAGCTTAAAATCTAAAGAAAAAAAAGATGTCTAGTCGCACCTTCCGTGCTCTGGGTGGTATGCTAGAGAAGGAAATGAAATTGCAGTGGGCTATGGGGAGGTGTAATGTCAGTGCCTTTGCAGTTTTCATTTGACCATGCTGAGTTTCCCTGTACAAAAGCATAAAATACTTTGGAGATGGTACAGAAGCAGGAAAATGTACCTGTCCATTTGGATGTAGACCCGGGTTCACAGTGTATTGTATTTCTGGCTACCCTGTCTGAGAGGAGATCTCCTGAATGATCCATTTAGGGTTGTTCTGTTCAGCTTCACAACCACACCAATTTTGTCTACTGGTGCCTGTGTTAGGCACTGGGGAGACAGGGATGCCAAGCTGTTTAAAATACTGTGCTTCCCCCCAGGGGCTTTGATGACTATAGCTCCAGAAGTAATAGCTTTGGTGGAAACCGCGGTCTGTGCAAATTTCACCACATAAGGAGAGGAAACATAAGTATTTGTTATATTAAAACATGATATGGGCTAGGTGCTGTGGCTCACACCTGTCATTCCAGCATTTTGGGAAGCTGAGGCCAGTGGATCACCTGAGGTCAGCAGTTTGAGTCTAACCTGCTCGACATGGTGAAACACCATCTCTACTAAAAATACACAAATTAGCCGAGCTTGGTGGCAGTGCCTGTAATCCCAGCTACTCAGGAGGCTGAATCAGGAGAATCACTTGAACCCGGAAGGCGGAGGTTGCAATGAGCTGAGATCATGCCACTGCACTCCAGCCTGGGCAACAGAGCAAGACTCACCTCAAAAAACCCCAAAAACAAAAACATGCGGCAAAGTCACCACCACCTATTGTGTGACTCCAGAGAATGATGCAGTCTGGTGTTATCAAACCTTGACGTGGGGCTGGGGAGTGGTGGGACCTGAGCTTGTCTTAATCTAAAAACACGGTCCTTTCATGACTGGAATGAGCACTGTGCTTCTTCTCCCCCCCAGGACCCCAGGAGCAAGCACAAGTTCAAAATCCACACTTATGGAAGCCCCACCTTCTGCGATCACTGTGGGTCACTGCTATATGGACTTATCCATCAAGGGATGAAATGTGACAGTAAGTAAGTTTTCTTTCCCAGTTCATAGCGAGGCTCTGTAGCTCATGCTCAGGGTTTGCTGAACAAGGAAGCCTCAGTAACTTTTCAACACCAGCTCTTCAACAGAGAGAATTAGTTCAGATATACACCAGACTGACAAAGTGTAGAATCTTTCACTGTCGAAGTTCCAATTTATTAAACTACTTGACTGCCTCAGTATGAACCCCAAAAAAGCACTCTTGCTGTCCCCTTTTTATTATTATTATTTTAGTGGCAGAAATTTTCAATCACTATAAAATGTAGCCTAGTCAAACCCCAAAGAAGAGTCCCACCTCCAGATTCCACATTTGGTTAGGCTTCAAAATAAGCCGAGCAACAGTAGTCATTATCTTCCTGTGTCTTTAATTAGTGGGTGGACTGAGGAAAAATCCAGTAGGCTTTCCTTAAAACTGCAACCAAAATGAACATAAAAACCAGGATAGCATCTTATTTTAAACTTCACCCTGCGTGTTTATGGACATATCAAATGTATATCAGCCCAGCTCAAGACATAGGACCATTGACAAGCAAGACACCAGCCCTTTTCTGTTATTGTTTGTTCTGTGTGTATCTCCATCAACTACCAGGAGGAAAGAAAAGCAACTCTTTGCTTTGATCATTCTTAAAGTATGAGATTCCTCAGGCTATGTTTGTTTAAATACAAGTCGATACTTTTAGGAAGGGGAAAGTTAAGTGCCCAGCCTGTTTTTCTAACAGAGCAGGAAGCATTATGGAAATTTCAGCCTATTGCCATTTGCTAGTGACTATTATGACAGCCAGAAGGTGATATTTGTATTTTACATGGAGCAAACTATTTTAAAAAAAGAACATAAATGGGCATTATAGAGTAGATGGAGAGTTTCTCAGGACACAGAGATTCTTTACCTTACAGAGTTGTACAGCATAACAACCAAATGCAATGTTTGCTTGCTTCAGGAAACCCTAGGATTCCAAAGGCATGGTTTTCAGGGATTCCGCAAGGACTTACAACTTACATGCCTTTGTAAATATATCTTCACTACTTTAAAACTGGGAACAAAATAAATACTTGAATGTGTTACGTTCTCAGCCTTCACTCCTGGGACAGAACTTGCAGTCAGGTTTCTCCTACAGCATCCACTTCACTGAAGAGCCGGCTGGGATCGGCAAGCATGTTGTTAAACCCTATTCCTGTTTGTACATAGTTTTTTGTATGAATCAGGATTTTTGGATGCTGTGCCACTTCAACAACATGCAAAAATTAATGAGATGTGGAGACTGGTCTGAGACATCAACTTGCATCCCTAACAACTGGTCTCAAAGTTGTGTTTGTATCAGAGGGCTTTCTTGGCGATCCTTGAATGTCTTTATAAAACATAACTGGCACAAATTTGTGTTCGTTAGCTGAGTTTATGCTAATAAAATAACACTCATCTGGTTTACAAAATTAGATTCTGCTTAGATTTTGTTTGCAGAATGGTTTCCATTACTAAAAAATTTTGAAAACCGCTGACCCAGACCAATGCTTTTTTGTTTTGTTTTGTTTTAAACTCTTTTTCTTGGGAGCCTCAAGGCTTCTGTGGCTGCCGCCTGTGCTCCTCCCTGGAGAGAGGAGGAAAACAAGCAGATGAGCTCCAGAACTGCAACCCCTACTGTCCTTAACTTCTGTAGCGAGAAAGCCTCTTTCTGTGCCCTTCCACGTTGTATGATTGCAGTCCTAGATGGAGTTCCTCTTGGGATGGGGCAGGGCCTGGCAGGGAGTCAGCATTAATGACCTGGGTGGGCCGACCTCTCATTTTGTAGATTTGGAAATGAAATTAGAGCAAATGAGCTTCCCAAGATAGACAGCCGAGACTGGAACACGGCTGGGTGCACTTTTACCTCCCCCATCCTCCCTGTTTCCCGTGTGCTTTCCAGAAGCTCCAGCATTCCCGTCCTTCAAATTGCAAATTTTACCCAGACACTTAAAGGTATGACTTGGTTAAGGCAAGTGATATTCACAACACAGCTTTTCAAGAGCCTTTATGTTGGCTAAATTCGAGGTGCACAATTTTGAACAGTTAGCCTTGGAAATAGAAGCCTAATATAATCCACATTTGTGAATTAGCTAATTGTCCTTTCTTCAGTATGTCCATTATTCAGCTGTCAGTGTTTAATCGGAGCAATATACATTATTCATGATGCTTTGTGCAATTTACTTTGTCGGGTTAAACACTCAAAATGAAGTGGATCAGAAAGCCCCACCCTGATGAATGCGGAATAATCTTATTCGCTTCCTGGCCAGGAATTGTGATGATTCCACTGGCCATCCCTCCTTCTGGATGTCTAAAGGTACCAGGACGATAGAGCTGGAACACCTACACCAAGTCTTCTGTTTGTTTCCGGTGCACAGGGTTCTTTTCAGGGCTTCTTTGGTTTGTTGCAATAATACTGATCTTTTTTGATCCTCCCCCTGTCTCACCCACATAATGTCAGCTGTAAGGAATGGCTTATCACACTAGGCATGTATTTGTTTTACTTGGAATAATATTTAAATATTTGAAGACAGGTTTAAAATATCAAATACAAGGTCCTTGGGAGGGGGAAGCACAGGGAATGTACTTAAAACTTGTTGAAAATACAAGGTCAGCTGAGGAAAGGAAAATTTAATGAATTTTCTGTATTCAGTCCTCAGATTTTCACTCTTTCTCAGTGGTAAGCCCAGAAAGGCATAAAGAATTCACTAGCAAAAAGCATCCTATGTTGAAATTGGGTGCAGTGGCTCATATCTGTAGTCCCAGTGCTTTGGGAGGCTCAGGTGGGAGGACTGCTTGAGCCCAGGAGTTCAAGGCTGCAGTGAGCTAGGATTATGTTACACCAGAGTGACAAAAGGAGACCCTGTCTCAAGAAAAAAAAAAATCCTATGTTTAAAATTTTTATATCATTTTGACTGTGTATATAAAATATTAACTAAGCTGAGCTTTGTACACATTCACCTGTGTGAATTTTGTATACTGTTAAATATTTGAAACAATCACAGAAGGCCAAGCCGGGATATTTTGCTTCAGTGAAGACTGAACAAATGTGGTATGGGTATTTTAAGGATATTGTCACTTACATGAAGTCTGTGCTGTATAGGACATCTGCTAACAGTTCTTTATGTCACCGAAAACATGATAGCAAAGTATCAAGTTGAGGGTAACTCGTTTTCACTTCTGCTCATGCACAAAAACACTGAGGAGTGGTGGTTGGAGCCCATATGCCCAGCTTACCCTCTGCTTTCTTGATTCACACAGCCTGCGACATGAACGTTCACAAGCAGTGTGTCATCAATGTCCCCAGCCTCTGCGGAATGGATCACACGGAGAAGAGGGGGCGGATTTACCTAAAGGCTGAGGTTGCGGATGAAAAGCTCCATGTCACAGGTGAGGCTTGCTCATCCGGGAGCAGCACTGTGGACAGGCATTTGGATGAAGGTCACACTGATATTAAGGCAGGGTGGGGGCTGGGCTGGATGCCCTGGGGCCTCTGGAGAGGCAGTTGGCCTGGTGGAACCATCACTGTCTGGGAGCCCTGCAGCCCTCCAAACCCTCACCTCAATACACCTCCCAGGAGATGGGTCTGCACACCTGAATCCCCAAATACTCAATGTCACACAAAGTCACAACCCCTGTGTGGATTGGACTGTTCTGACAGCATGGCCTGTGTACTTTCCTCCCAGCAACAGCAGGTCAGGGGAGCCAATTAATCAAAATGCCGTTGGAGGGGATGGAACTAGGGCAAGGGGAGGCAGATGGATGGATGATCCAGGTGTTCGGTAGCATTGGCCTGTGATGGCCCGATAAATCCACCTCAGCAACAGCAACAGCCGATGAGTGCTTTTGCTTCCTCTATGTTAGGTATGGTGCTAGGAACTTAACATCGATTAATAGTTTAGACCTGACACCTAGCGGGGCATTAGGCTCATCTTCCAGAAAGGTCAACTGAGGCACAGAGAGACCAGTAACTCCTAGTGTTAGAGTTAGTGAGGAGCTGGAATAGGAACTGAGGCATTGGACTCCAGTTACTGTGCTTGTAATTACCACACCTCCTACAGACAGCCTAGTACGGGACGGAAATTCCCTATCCACATGCCTGGTGACTCCCTCCTCTGGTTGGTTTCTGGGTGGGCTCTGCCACAGCGCGGCTTTTCCTTTGGTTTTCCCACCAAATCCACTTTCGGTTAATCGGCACAGTCAGTCAAGTTATCCTGGAGTCTTATTGGCCTAGGATGCATTCCATGTCCTCAAGATGACTTGCATTCTCTGTACCATGACCCCCTCTATGTTAGCGTATGGTTCAACTCACAGGCATCCGCCTAGTTCCCTGTACCTGGGGGCCCCTGAGGGACCAAGTATATCTATTACTCTTGTTGACAAGGGCATTCATTTTCATTTGATCAGCAAAGGTATCTTCCATTTGTATCTAGGAATTTGAAGCTATCATGAACATAATCTATTCTGTTTGTAGATGACAGAAAATATCATAGAAGAAGGGCTTGGAGGATCTGTTTAAGAAACAAAGAGGAAGGCAGTGGGTTCCAAAGAAAGACTTATTTTTGGAAACATCCTCACATTTTTCCTTTGAAAAATAAGCAAATGTTCTAACCAGGACTGTCCCCTCGGGTTAGAGCTCAGAGAACACCAAAGGATTCCAAGGTATCGCTAGGAGAGGGTAACAGTTTCCCTTTGGATAACCTTGAAACCACCTGTGGCTGATGGTCAAAATGGAATTGGGAGTGAAATCCCTATCATAGACACAGAGTCCCTTCTGACTTTTTGTAGCTTTGGAGAAATTCTTTTATTTCCTCAAGACTATCTCTGTTGCGCCATTTTTCATTTGGGGCTGTGGCTCTCACCTGCGTTTATATTGCTTTGTAATGGGCTGATGTCCTTGGAATCCGCTCTGCCTTTGTCTCCACTGACATCCAGGAGCCCTCTGACGGGACACCGATGCTCTCTGCCCAGAGGAAGATGCTGTTCCTTGAGGGCCATGAGACCCCTCTGTGACATCGCAGCCTTGCTCTTGTTTCTCTTTTCTACTAAGGCTTCCACATTGTCAAAACTGTGTATGGGGGAGTATGATGCAGTCGAGGGAGAAATTACCATAAAACCTAGTCTCCGGCCAGGCACGGTGGCTCACACCTGCAAGCCCAGAACTTTGGGAGGCCGAGGCAGGCGGATCACAAGGTCAGGAAATCGAGACCATCCTAGCCAACATGGTGAAACCCTGTCTCTATTGAAAATATAAAAACTAGCTGGGCGTGGTGGCGTGCACTTTCAGTCCCAGCTATTCAGGAGGCTGAGGCAGGAGAGTCACTTGAACACAGGGGACGGGGTTGCAGTAAGCCGAGATTGCACCACTGCACTTCAGCCTGGGCAGCTGAGTGAGACTCCATCTCAAAACAACAACAACAACAACAACAACAAACAAACCTAGTCTCCTTAGGTGGTGAGGGATCAAGGAGCATAAAGTAGAATGTCTATGGGCTAAACATTTCTATGCTTTTCTTACCTTTTCCTTTATTTCCTAAGCTACTGCTGTTGGCAATAGAGTAGACATCACAGGTGAATATTCAGAGTTTAATTATGGGTTTCCATGTGGTTACCTTGTGGCTCGCTGTAAGGCAAGAACACCTGGACGGAGCATTGAAATGTTTAGCTGGCATTCTTTGTGTTTCTAGATAAAGCAAAACACACACTGTGCATGCCGGACATGCTGCATGCCTTCCTCTGTAATAAAAGCAGCAACCATAAGGCACTGCCTGAACCTTTCAGTCTCTCTTATAAGAGGCTTGCAGATCTAAAACTGCACAGAGAGGCACAGATGCCCTGGCTGAGGTGGCACAGGTGCGCAGGTGGAAGAGAAAGGTCAGTCCTCATTGTGCTAGAGCTTACATCAGGCTAATTCCTCTACCATGGCCAAGAGTTGCACTTGACTCACAATTGTAGAATCAGCTTAAGGAGCAATACATTTCCCTGAGTTGGACATCGACATATGAAAGCCAGCCAGTATTACTTATGGCACCTATCCAGGCCAAGTCCCTTGAGAATTAGTTTAAAAATTTTTGTGGAGCTACAGCTCCACTCTAGGAATGTGAATTCAGCAATGGTAATAATAATAATTATGTGTTATTCCATTCAGGCTGCTGTCACAAAATACCTTAGACTGGGTAACTTATACATAATAGGAATTTATGTATCACAATTCTGGATTCTGGGAAGTTCAAGATCGAGGCCCCAGCAGACTCATTGTCTGGTGAAGGCTCTGTCTCTGCTTCATAGATGGCATTTCTTACTGTGTCCTCACATGGCAGAAGGAAGGCAGGCTGTGTTCCCACATGGTGCTAGGAGCAAACATGCTTCCTGTCATCTCTCTTTTTTTTTTTAGACAGCATCTCACTCTGTCACCCAGGCTGGAGTTCAGTGACACGATCTTGGCTCACAGCAACCTCCACCTTCTGGGTTCAAGAGATTCCCCTGCCTCCCAAAAGGATGACTTCCCCAAAGGCTCTGCCTCTTATTCCTATCACATTGGGGATCCAGTCTTAAGATACAAATTCAGAACCACAGCAAATAATAGCAGCAGCTCACAGCTGTTAAGGGTCTTCCTCCACAGGACCAGTTTCTAAGTACTAGCGTTTATCCAAATAAAAGTTAAAGTTACATACTAACTTTTATTCAAATATGTGAAGAAGTTGACTTTATTATCCTTACTTTATAGAGGAAGAAATGGAGATACAATGAAATGAAGTGACTCACCCAGAGTCACACAGATGGTAAATTGGATGGCTAAATATTTAAATGGCAGACGCAGAGAGAAGATATTTTAATGACAGTATCCATATGAATTGAAACCTATTTTTAAAGTACAGTTGTGTGTGTGAAGGGAATCCAGACTTAATTATAGAAAGTCAGGCTCAAGGAAATAACTAATTAGTAATTATATCTTTAAAATTCTTAAAGTAATTTAAGATTTTCGGAAAAGCTGCACATGTAGTACAGAGTTCTTGCACACCCCTCACCCAGCAACCCCCGATGTAATGTCCTTGTATAACTATAGTACCTGATAAATTTATGAACTGTAGGTACTTACATCCGGGCGCAGGGCTAATACCTGTAATCCCAGCACTTTGGGAGGTTGTGGTGGGCAGATCACTTGAGGTCAGGAGTTTGAGACCAGCCTAGGCAACATGGTAAAACCCCATCTCTACTAAACATACACAAAATTATCTGGGCATGGTGACATGTGCAGGTAGTCTCAGCTGTGGTGCCAAGCAAGGCCCCCTTGGGGCAGCACTCGTCAGTGATGGGTGGCATCCCCACCCCCATTACCTGCCTGCACCTTTTCTCAGCCAAATAGTTCAGGCATGAGTTTGTCTTGAGAAATGTCTTCATACCAATTGCTACTGTCTATTGAGTGCTTACCGTGTACTTATTGTTCATAGGACGGGACCTTTGTGCTCAGCATTATATTCATTGCTTCCTTGACTCCCCAAACAATCCCATGAAGTACATACTATTATTATCTTCCTTTTTGAGATGAGCAAAGGAGCTGAGATTAAGGAAGGAAATCGCTCCAAGTTACAGGGTGGAAAGTGATGGGGCTGGGACTGTGGCCCAGGCCAGGCTTCCACACCCTTGCTTTTAGTGCACAGGCTATGAATGTTCCAAGTCTCTCTTGTTAATTGGAGTCTCCTTTTGAACAAACAATAAATCCATAAATATTTGCTGAACCCACAGTCAGCACCCCACAGGGTTCCTTGAGGTCATGGAAAATCCAAATGTGGGACTTAAAACCAGGGAAGAAAAGAGTAACATATGAAGAGAATAAAGAACAACCCACGTCCAAGTATAATTAAGTGCCAAGTATGTGGTGACAAAATAGCACACCCTTGGGAGGTGCCAAGGGTGGGAAGGGGATAGGGAGGGAAGGACCCTGTGGAAAAGCAGCCAACTGAATACTGTAGATATTTGAGAGGCAGAGAGGGAAGAGAGCTCTGACTGAGAAAGTCAGAGGGCTGTGGGAATTAGCCTGGCTTTAATGAGAGCACAAATATAAACCAAAAGGCATCACAAGCAGGGTTTATGGTCCAAATGTGAGAAATTTCTTGGAGAATGCATTTCAACCTAAACCCTGAGCAGCTGTGTTAATTGCTAGGTTAGTTCAAACGGTGTCTTACCTGTGTAGAATCGCTCAGATTGAAAATAATTCCCAAAGTAACATCGAAACAGGAGCTCTGCTTTGGGATGGAAACCCCCCTTTGCAATCAGATGAGTTTTCTTTCTAGCTTGGTCGGGTATTTATGGGAAAGTGCTCTGCTTTTGTGGTGTATTTTTATTTTTTGCCTTTGGGCAGTGGTGCTGATGTTATCAGAATGGTGTCA